CCTCATCTAAAATATGGCTGCGTAGTGTTTCCGCTATTGTTGTGAAGCGGAGTGTGTTGGGCGCGCGATTTGGCAACTTGCTAACATAATACGTGAGCGTCTTTCTTGCCGGAACATCAGTACACTCAACGGTTGAGTCAAAAACTCAGTCACGTCATACAGCTGAGTTTGTCACGTCTTCAATCGAAACCTACCAAGCACCCCTTAGTCTTCCAGTATCGATCCGACAGCCTGCCCAGCCGAATCACTTGCAATACAATTTTGCGAAATCCGGTACTATGGTCTCGAAAACTAACGCTGAAATTGCTTCTTTATGCGTCATGAATAGACAGATCCTCTGGACTGTCTCACAACACCTGAGTTGCATTAGCGACCAGGCGTGCATGTCTCTGTGTTTTATATTTTAACAACCAATCCCAGCTGTTTAGTTCATTATATACCCCTGTTTTAACCATTAGATATGTACTGGCATGACAAAGAGATCCAGAAAACAATGATGTTCATCACTGCGTTCTTGTTCAAACCATGAGAACACTCAGACAGGCTTGTTTCTCTCGGCGAGATGACTTGCCTTTCAAGGAGCAACTTTGAGTTTCGTTCCTCTCTGTCATTTCTACTATATGTGATTTTCGGCAGTTTGAGGTGAAAAGAATTTTCCAATACAAAGCTCCATGAAACTCATCGATCTTGATGTCGCTCAGATCAAACCTAGAAACCGCGCACTGTAAGCAAACTCAATCTGTGCTAAGATGGTGAAACGCAATGCAGCGTTGTGTAGTTCATATTGGTAACGATCAAATTTTTCCTTGGGACTTCTTTCACACAGACCTCTGGTCTGGTGGCGCAGAGCTAACAACATCTTGTCACGGATGACGAGTTTCTATGAAGGATCTGGCACCATCGTCCTTTGTGAAGGGAACAATAGTTCGAACTCTCATGTCCACCTGAGAAGCCTTTACCTGAAACCAACACCATATCAGATAACGTGAACCCTATGAGAACTGATGGTAAGCTGCATTCTGTCCTGCGTATATTTACTCACAACGCCGATCAGTCCAAGGAAATGGAGCTCATCTACGAGCTGTATGCCGAAGGATCTGATTTTTCTTACAAGTTCATGGGATGCGTACGGCCCCTGGTTCATAACACACGTACTACGACTACAAAACGACCAAATAAAACCATTATCGAATCCCCAAAATGCCCCGATTTTGAAACCATTCGTAACCCCCTCCCCCGATGAAACTTCGGCACAACCGCATACAGATAAAAGTGCAATGTCCTACAGAATGAATGTTAGTAATCTCACACGCTATAGCACAAGTGGAGAGTTGTCTTTTGAAGCGGAGATCGTCCTTTTGTCGTGCGATTCTCAGCGTCAAGTAGCCTACACAATTCATTGGTTTTTTCAGCAGCGCAGGGGAACGTTTTGAGCCACTGGTCGATACATAAATTCAGGCGATTTGATAATTTGACATGATAAATACTGTTTGATAAACGATCTTACAGTCTTAAACTAATATACTGGCTAAGGAATATTCTTCTCAAGTGACCCTATTGATCGCGTTCCTATTTGCCAGGCTAGAATCTGTTAAAAAGTACAAACTGAAATATCTAATTACAACAGCAAACAGACCAGTCTAATTTTGGCCAACACCACACTACACGTAGACATTGTTCGGTTCGCTGGTCACTTCCTGCATTAATACGAACCTCCAATACCGATTCACTTCATAGTTGGTGACAAATATCTACATTTTATCATATTACTTTGCCATAGTTGGATGTCGTTCCAAGTTTTGAAGTGAAACGTCTGATTAGAGAACACAACACACGCGTTTGAATGCGTGATTTGCTTACCATTGCCTAAATATACTGGATTTTTCTTTATTTAGGGTGGTTTACAAATCAATAATTATACGAATCAGTGATGTGAAAATTCCATCAAATACACAACCACAAGGGGCGTTTTGGCGCCGTGCCGAATACGCACATTTGATTTTGACGCGCACTGGGACAATATGGCTTTCCCGACTGTTTGGATGACTTAAGTTAATGCATTTATTCTGTTAACCGAGTTATGTCAGTCATGCTGGTAAAGTGAACGTTCTGTGGTGCATGGAGAAAACGAGTGTACGCGCACATGTGATACGGCTACATGAGCTGAAATCATACAAGAAAGCATAGTGGCTTCGTCAGGCTTTTTGTTTGATGCCATTTTTGGGAAAGGTTTAAAACACAGTCCAAGGTAAATGATACTGTCTAAGCCAATTATCTCAGGGAAATCCAAAGCAGATGGAGAATTTCTAGTTTTCCATGAAATACTTCACCATATTTAAGATGTCAGTTAGAACAGAATCCCAATTTGACCGTTTCGAATAAAAGATTCAAAATTCAAAATACAGCCCCAATGATGTGAACAAAATGTATGAATCTCGTGCATCCTGTCAAGGGGAACTGGGGAAAAGAAGCTGCTTCTGTATCTAGCTTGACGTACATTCAAGACTTCGATGCAGGTTTTTTTTGGTAATTTCAAGGATTAACTAGCAACACATTACCGGTTCGATTCTTTTTGAGTAATCCACCGATCAACTGCACATTCAGTTTAAGTACATAGCGAATGAACTTAGCAGAAATTTGATGTGTAAAAACGTTCTATATTTCCACCTGTCCGACGTAGTGTTCTTGTAAGATAAATAATTGATTGTAGGAGAGGAAAAACGAACACAGCCTGGACGTTAGTTGCCACATGATTGCGATGAGCTTACATATACTACTTACTGAGGAACTGTTCTATCTTTTAAGTAATAGAACCCATTTAGGCGCGGAATTAAGGATCTGTCTAACAACACCACTCGTAGTTTGAAGGTATCCTTATCCACACCAGTATGAGCACGCTACGTTACAACCAATCATAACTTCCTACAAGAATTCATACAAGAAGTTATGGAGGTAGCTGTATAACATGCGTGGTGGCACTAAGCCTTTATAGAAGGTCGATGAAAAATCATTTCTAAGCGGACGACTTCTCCAGAAGACTAAACTAGTCAGCCACGCCGGTGCAACTGCACATCGGCTTATTATTGGAGCTCCCAACTTTCATCTAACTACGAGTCATTGAATCCTCTCAGAACCATACATCAAAGACTGTCGTATTTAGATCGTCTGATTTTTTGTCACAGTGGTGCCCTATTCTTGACCGTTCCCGACGATTCTATATTTTAGTCATATTTATTATGGAAATACTTTCTACAGTGCTTGGAATTGACGTGCTTTAGAAAGCACTTCCTTTTTCTTCTTGTCTAGCCTGGGAATATCCATAGAGTGAACAAAGTCTGTCAATATAGAGTAAAGTGCATGGTCAATGATTCTGCAGTGCTAGCAAGACCGGAAAATGGATGTGATCTTCTCAGGTAGACCTGCGTATCTTGATCGTGCAAAAATGTGTCTCTTGCTAACTCTTGAGTTAGCGGAAGTGGGAGTACAACAATCTCATGTGTAAGTCTAAGCTTAAAGATATAGCTGGAAGATTTGCATAAGACGATTTTAATTTCTCAACGAATCTCAGTAGTAGGGTCGGTGTCCAGCAGACTGGATAACGTTCTGCCGTCAATGTTCTGTAGACAGAAAACGTCTTCACACGCTCCTGAACAATTTACTCGGAATCCTAACAGAGACCACTAAAGTATTTTAAATTCACCTAATGCGAGAAAGTGAGACAAACCTGAAGTTTGTTCCAACAGAGCAACCACCAGTCGAGCCCATGGTAATCACGTCGATCTCTGAAGGGGACGGGAAAAATAGTCTGGTCTTTGTAACGCACTACTCATACGGTTGCTAAAAACTCTTGTGAGTAGTGTATTACGAACACACATGTCCCGCGGTATCTCCAATATCGTAACGACTGAAACATGAAGCGGCTTGGTGCCTGGAAACATCACAAACGAGAGATTCACCTGGGTTCCTGATGAGTCTCTCGAAAAACCAAATTTATTTGCAAATGAGTGCATTTCGTCAGTTTTTACCCTAAGCACTTTGGTCTCGGATTCTGCGGTCGAAAAACTCCTCTGAGGTTGTTCCCTTCAAATACACATGAAGACTTAAATTTAAATTTAAATACGAAATTTTGCAGACACTGAGTGAGTTCCTGGACTTTCATTACTACACTGCACCGAACATCATGTTTTATTGCTTTGATTCATGCCTTCACGAATTCGAGCAACGGTGCTCGTTCATACTGCCAGCGGTGACAAATTGTGGGCAATCCCAAAAGCGTCAGTGAATAATAGTTGGCCACGATCATCCACAAGATTAAATATTCATACCTGAGAGGTATGTACTTCGCACCAGCCTGGGATGGATAAACTAAACAGGAAATAGAATTTTTAAGACATACGGTAGATATAGATGCCTAAGTGCGCTACAAGGAATAACACAAAGCTCGGTAAAAAGTGCTTCAGAATCCAAATGACCACTAATTACAGGGTATCAAATGAGAAACAAGTGTCTCAAAATATACTCCGCGATATGATCATATGGTCACCTATGATTCTCACCATAATTCCAGCAGTAACGGTTGAAAGTTAATGGCTTTTGGTCAGCCACTGGAAACAGACACACGTTTGCAAGACGTGTCTTGAGAAAGTTGACGGAAAATCAAAGAATGGCGGAAAAGAGTTTTGCAAATACACAGGTCTAAGGAGTTTACACATACCAGAAAATTACTGATACTGAGTCTCAAGAAGAAGAATTTTTTAGCAACCTTATGAGTAGTATATTACTGAAACTGTCTTTCCACTGGATTTTAATTGAGTCGTTGGAACCACAAAGTTATGGTGCCCTTGCTCCAGGCTACCATGTTCAACGGATCCCGAGTTGAGTTGAATATTTGTAAACAATGGTTCTCGACTGGTTCCGCCTTGTGATACACGATTTGGTTTGTGATGATACGCCAGATGTCGAGCACTGCTTGATCTTTTTAAATAACTTCGTTGCAACGATTAATCATCATCATCATCATCATCATCAGCATCATCATCATCGTCATCATCATCGTCATCATCATCATCCTCATCATCATCATCACCATCCTTCTCCTCCTCCTCTTCCTCTTCATCATCATCATCATCACCATCATTATCAACATCATCATCGCTTCCGCTTTCTACGAGTTTGAATAAGGATTTTGAGCAACAATGTGCATTTTCAAGCCGTTTCTTAGATGAGCATTGAAGACACCACAGACCACTAAGCGACCAACAATACTGGCTGGCGTCATATCCACGTGTCTGATGCCCAGATTTAGCGTTCTTTATAGGCTATGACAGAACACCGTGAACGATGGTGTCCCCAACGATATTATATTGCTACATGTGTCGGGTCCGCTCTGCCATCTTGAGGATTTGGGGCATTTGCCCTATTTTGCTCTGCCGAAGACTGACCGCCCTGCCAATGAGGGTAATCTGACGGTAGTCTGACTCTCACCCGCCAATTACAAATTAAAAGGTCCCTGTTTTCCGAATTTACCTAACCAAACAGATTAAACTGATCAAACTGATCAAACAGAAGAAGGGTCACGTGTTCTGTGACTAATTCATCCACTCGCAACAGACCTGACATATTGGCCAGGATTAATGACGTTTGCAGACTCTTACGCTTTTGGAAATAAGGGAGCAGCAGAAAAGGGAGTAAACATTGTATGTTCTGTGTTCATTTCCTGCTGAATGAAGAACCTCCTAGCATTCTAATATCAACCCTCACAAGGTTGCATTTTATTTGTCGGCTTTTCAAACCTACATACGAAGGAATCATACTACCCAGAACTGATACAGATGCCAACTCCAAAATGACAGATCTTCATTCGTAGGCCGACCTGGTGAGTGCATCAAGACGACTTTTTTTATGGGGTTAGCGCAAAGTATAAAGTTCGTAAAGCTGTCTTAAATTTACTGGCTCTAGGTTAGGTCAAAACATGTGGCTTTCGCAATAAAATCAGCTACAGCTTCCAGAGCCCGCCGAGGCTCCCTGGAATACCTTGCGTAACCGTTATCCAGCATTTTGATGAGGCACTTCGCATGTCGACATTTGATGGTTTTCAGAGTTTATTAAGCTTCTGTCAACTTTGGTAGTTACTGATGTTATCCCATCGTTCACTTTTCAACCCAGCAATATCCATCTATATTGTTGCTGATTTCTCTTCATAAAGGAGTCGGTAGGGATTAGGCAGAACGGAGGGTTCATCAGGTTGCGAGACGAATCACTCAAGGTTATATCAACTCTTCAGGCTGCGCTGTTCCAGCTCTGAATCTTGGTTTAAATAATGCTGTGACTAGACAGCGAACTATTGTCAGTGGTGAGCATCTTAACTTACTCAAGTGTTGAGTATCCGTCGCACAGGAAATAAACGAGGACCCCAAAAACAGCAGTCAAATACCAAAGCAAAACTCTAAAGCAATATTTTCACGTAGAGTAGTACATGGCATGCTACATACCTGGAAAAACCAAGCATTACTCGAGCACCACTGTCTATGTAGAATTTCGATTATGGGTGCTGCGTGGGTGTTGCTGGGTGCTGCTGCAACCTGAGAGAAAGAGACACTCCTTCATAATGTGATTTCATTGCTGATTCGCTTACACCTTGTGGCTGTCGTGGGATACTCATTCTAACATGGCACGGGGATTAGTGATTAAATGACGTTCATTAAGGGTTCCCAGTTGACACAATTTATAATCATGGTCTCCGAAACGTGTGCAAAGAAGCTTGCAAAGATTCGTGCAATGAGTTGATTGTTCATGAGGAAAGTACCGAAAATTCGCACGACGATTTTGCCAGTTGAAGACATTCGAAATTCCGAACATTGATGGAAGTGTTTTTTGTTCAACTGCTTGGCCCTAAAAGGTGTGATATCTACATGAATGTTAATGGTGAAAAGCTAGCCATGTGCTTGTGATTAATTGTTTGATTTTACAGTTCCTTGTCGATAAGGTCACACTTGACTTTTGTGCTTAACCTACTTAAGTTTGGTGGAGAAAGCAAGAAATGATAAACAACAAATCTATATCGTCGCACCTGCCAATGAATGAAGGGGTTTTGTGGATCTTTACGAACTGCTATACTCCTCTACCATGTTCTTGCGGAACGTTATACACTTCGCCAAAGTTACCCGCATCTTGCTGCATCCCGCACCAATTATGTTAACCGGAAAGGATTTCGATGTGAGAATTTCGGGTATATGTTGATTATGTAGGTAGTTAAGTCTTTGTGTTACTGAGTAGATAAAATAAACTACTGGGGCTTACTTCTGAGCTGAGAAAAGTCCGAACTCCAGACAGTGTTCCAATTTGTGGACCTGACTACTTACATTGCATGAACATGGTGAGGAAACCGGTGGAAATCAATCATTAAGACCGTTTCTCTGGCGGCCATTACTTTCGAAATGATTTCCAATCAGCTGTTTGACTGGTCTGTTCGGAAGCATGATCTTCAATGAGGTGATAAATGTTCGAATTATGTAAATAATATATCAGGGCAACCTAGCTGGAACAAGATAACTCTGTTACACCACGTTTTTCGGCAGACGCTTCCAATAACTTCAATTAATTTCTTGTGTAGCTGAATTCGTTTGTGCTGAAGGCAGTCTGTTTTCTGCATTCTTATTCTGGAGAGGTAGATATAGAATATTTTCAGACTGCTCAGTCGGTGTGGCAAAGGGGGTCAGACAGACGGGCTATTTTTTACCAACTATTAACGACGGTCTGTGAGTAAGACTAAAGGAACGTGGGTTTTCGACAGAAAAGTCGCCAATTAGCAATGTGGGGATTTCGCGCACGGTTCGCAAATCATTTGTAAACTAGAAATTTGAGTGTTGGCCTGGGTTAGAGAGCAAGTTTGCACTTCTGTTTATCCGCTATTACAGACCTCTACTTTTCGCTCGACTTTGCCCAGTCGATTGTGCAAAGAAAATCTTCGCTGCTTGAAGATTAAACCGGGGTTTGGTAATTCAGATGATTGGTCAAAATTTACACTACCGCATTTAACAAAGTCCTTTTTGCTTGTGGATTTTTTTATTAATACCTCCCCGTTTTTGCTCAATATCCCAACTACAGAAAGAATATCTAACTTTAGTGGAACAGTGCATGAATTTCGCCTGTGAAATGATGGATTTGTGCAGAGGTACGCAAGAGGTTGAAGCCGTGATTTCTGACTTCCTCGAGGATGGGACAAATATTCGTGATCCGCTGGGCCGATTACGATTAGCCATTCAGTTTGAGGAGAAAAAGGTAAAGATTTATTATTTACCTTTTCTTCTAGTTTGCCGTCTTTGTATCCATCGTTTCTGGCACGATTCTGAGTAGTGTAATCTCGTGTACCAGCATATCAGTCAACAAAATCATTACCATGCACGATGCCTTGTGTGAGTATTGTTGTATTCTTTCTGAACTCGAGATAGTTCAAGGCTGAGGAGAGCTCAGCGGTTAAGGTAGCAACTCACGGATTGGAGGGTCCGGGATTCGAACTCACCTCAGCATTATTCTTTCTGAACTCGAGATAGTTCAAGGCTGAGGAGAGCTCAGCGGTTAAGGTAGCAACTCACGGATTGGAGGTTCCGTGATTCGAATTCAACCTCAGCATTTCGACTCTTCTTGTGTAAGCATGAGCAATCTGGTAGTGTCCATACTCTCGTGTTTCTTTCGGTTGGCGTGACAGCTACGAATGTGCCAACTATTTCAAGGTTCTTTGGTTGTATTGTGAATTCGGTATTAGTCTGTAGTCGCACCTTCTATCTCATCGATTAACTGATATTTTGGGGCGATAATAACACCTCAAGAGTCTCAAGTTAACCAAGGTTCGAGGAGGTGACTCTTGATCAGGTACCATCATCGTGTATGCGTGTTTCACACATTCCAGCTGCTCTTCCCTCGAGCTTTAACCAATGGCAGAATGTCCAGATATCTTGGTATGTGTTTCATCTAAAACTGCTTACGGACTGTTTTGTCTCGAAATCGAGTTACCAAATGACTGTGAAGATCCCAAATTGTTGTCGATTTTGAATATTTCAATCATCAGTTACCTAACTTACATCATTTTAAGAGGTAAACCGAAAAATTAAGACTGAAATGAAGACAAATGAATGAGATACCAAGAAGTTTCAGTTACCCAAACTTGGACAAATGTGATTGGTTGATTGGCTCACCGATGGATTTACATGGACGGCAATGGGATAGATACCTGGTGAGCTGCCATACGATCAAAGACTGGAGTTCATCCTTTGGCAAGCGTCTATCAGACTGCTGACGCCATTATGTAAAATATAGTCTAAATTTCCGCCCATTCCTCATTAAATTTCAGGTGAAATAGTTAAACTATCTTGGGCGATGGTGTTGTATAAAAAGCTTTATAGGGTATGAGATTAACTGAGGGTGTTACTTGACGATTTATTGAAGTCCTTTTGCGACTTTGTATCTGTCTGTGCTTGCCTGGTTGACACTTTCTGCCACTGTTAACCGCTTGCAATTTGTTTCGAAAAGTACACTTCTGTGATTAAACGCATTTATCACGCGTTGTATAAAGGCATAACTACTATATGAAACCAATTTCTGAATGCCTCGAACGTTCTTTCTTGCTTGTTTCCGTCAGTTCGTAGCCCATCCCAATTGTCAACAGTATCTAACCACAATTTGGTATGGATCTGAAACTGCATTCCTACAGTCCTGGTCGCTTATTCGAAAAATTGGTCTGTCAATCGCTGCCACTCCTCTCCTTCCGTTGCTCTGTTTAATCTACATCATGTTCCCTACATCCAACGTAAGTTTTTCCTCAGTCTAAGCTGCTCCGTGTTTCTGAATACTACTCATATTTCAGCAAAAGTTTTCCAAATTATTGAAGAAAGCTACTTTTAATTGCCGCCGACAGAGAGTACAGTTCTTAGGTTTAGCGCCAGACAGTATCAGGGTGCTTACTGGTTTTTAATATTCTTTTATTTATTTATTTATTTATTTATTTATTTATTTATTTATTTATTTATTTATTTATTTATTTATTTATTTATTT